ACACCAAAATATTAGGCACTTCTATTGGACTATAAGTGCAAATACTTATTTGAGATCAAAGGACAAGTAATCATTTCATAGTCAGATCATCAAAAATTACAGGTCCTACTACCATCCTCACAAATAGAATAGCGTCACTTTGAATCCGTTTTTAGGTTTTATGACCAAATACATATAAGTATTGGTGTGTCTGGATCCAACTAGGCGAGGAGGCCAATGCACAATGCTTGTTGATTTTTTTTCTTCTTTACCTATTTTACAGCTCTTTGCAAACATATCTGATGAACAAATGATACAATGATAGTAACTTTTAATTGAACACTTCTCTTATTGTCTATGTATATAAAAAACGACCCATAAACAGAAACATTAACCCTATACAAAACGACCCATAAACAGAAGACGTTTACTGGAGAAGGACGAACCATAAAGGCAGAAATCAAAAGTAAAAGGGCCAACCACAACGATTTTTCTAGAAATCGACATATAGATAGACGGGTATACCTTAACCGGAGTAGTGACCATCGATGACGGTTGTCGGAGACGAGTGAAGCAGTGGCAGTGGAGAACAGTGGCAGCCAAACGGTGGCGTTTTCTCATATGCGACCGGCAAAACCCTAGACGTCGATCGTCATATGGTGCCATGGTTGATTGTATGCGACATACAAGCATCGACCGATGGTAAAGAAGAGTGAGGAGATGTGAATTAGATATTATTGTGAGAAGATGATGGAATTAAACTAAAAAATAAGAAATTATAGAGTATCGGGAATAACATATTGAATCGGCGATGATAATTATACATGGAAGTTGGGTTGGGGGAGGAGGATTAACTCGATGTTCCCGAGTTCTTTTTTTTTTTTTTTTTTTTTTTTTTTTTTTTTTGTAAATTCATTAAAAGAAAGTGAAGGAAAATATTGACACAAGGAAAATGAGGGGAGGAAAATTTATGTATTCCGTAGGGTAACCTTTGCGACCACGATATCTAGCGGCATCCTTATTGGGTAACCTTTGCGACCACGATATCTAGCGGCATCCTTATTTGGTACTTTTACACGAACATGTGTCCCGTCAATTGCCCCTATACAATTCTTGAAATAGGGATAAAATCTTTTTTTCTCTTGAATTTCTTTCGGGACAACATTACCTTTAGGTTGTTGAATGTTGTAACTTTCTAATGCTACAACTGCACGAAGAACTCCATGGAAGCACCTACTTGTTGTAGATTTAGCGTGTCCATACATGAAAGAGACCATGGTGTTTCTCATATCGTTACCTATGATGTGCAGAAACCTTGGAACATGTTCTTCAACAGACATGCGTTGTGTAGGTCGCAGGCCACCGTCACGTTGTAAGATAGTACACAACTTTGTAAAGCTTGCTCACTCACACGAAAAAGCTCACAACATGTCCCACCTTTCACAAGTTTGTGTAATAGTCGTTCTCGTTCAAGTTGACGCTTTAACATTTCTTCCTTACTTAGTAAATTTTGATTACTTTTTTTCGAAAGTCTACGATGTATTACAATGGTCATGAACATTAGTCTAACCACTAGCCTTCGTCTTTTTTCCCCATCATCATCTTGGCTGGCCATGACACTCTCCTTGTAACACCCTGACTCCCAGGTATAAGTTTTAAAGCCTTACATAAATGTTTATGGACCTACTCGACGAGTTGGTTGCCCCAACTCGTCATGTAGAGGCAGGTTAGCCCGCGTGGATTATTGGACCTACTCGACGAGTCGGAGGGCCCTGACTCGGCGAGTAGGAGCTGGAAAATGAAACCCTAATTTCCAGGGTTCTGCACTCTATTTAAAGGGTCATTAACCTCCATCAGCCTCCCTTACCGTCCCCCTTGAGCTCAGAAAACCCTAATCGCGATTTCACTCCATTTTTGTGTGTTAAGAAGCTTGGAAAGTGGTTTTTGTGAAGAAGGCTTGAAGTCTAAGGAGCTTGGAGCAAAGAAAAGCTTGTGGATCTGACTCTACTTCATCTTAGCATCATTTTGAAGGTAACAAGTTGTTACCTTGACTTCTCTCTAGCTAGATCTCTCCATGTATAGGTTTAGGACCATTTTTAGCATATATGTGAACCATTTCGGGTATTAGTCATGATCTGAAGTTGTAACTTCAGATCTGGACTTCTCTAAGTCCCTATAGTCATAAAGTTATCAGATTTAGCTAGGGGTGAGCAGCGGAACAGGGTACCCGCTTTCGGAACCGGAACCGCCTCGGAACTGCCGGTTCCGGTTCCGGTTCCTAAAGTTTTGGAACCGCTTAAGGCGGTTCCGGTTCCGGTTCTTAGTTTTTCGGAACCGCTACCCGCCGGATACCCGACGGAACCGGTTTATATATATACAATGAAAAAATAATATATCATGTTTTGATAGTCTGGACTAATATGATCGATATATAAGTGAGTAAATTCATGATATATAAAACTTGAGTTTTGTCTAGTAATACAGTAGTAGTCACTAGCTACAATTTTATACGGTTTATCTTCCTTAACTTTAAACACATGATGATTCTTATTTTAATTTATAGCTTCATAAATAGATGCATATTTTTTAAACATCAAGCTGCCTCTAACTTCAAAACATTTTTTTTCGTGAAGGCTAAATCTAATTTTCCATGAGTTATGTTATATTAGTTTTTAACAGTTAATGGTTTGTGATGGTGGATTTCTAACGAAAAAATAGTAACAAATCTTAAAACAACTGGGTACCCGGTACCGGAACCGGTTCCGGTTCCAAAATCTAAAGAACCGTTATAGCCGGTTCCGGTTCCTACATTTCAAGAACCGTCGGTTCCGGTTCCAGACAAATAAGGCGGGTACCCGCCTATGCTCACCCCTAGATTTAGCAAGCCTTGGCCCTTCTCATTGGGTTAAACCCTTCCCTTAGCTTGGTTTTGGCATTTAGGACCATGCATGTACGTAAAGTTTACAACTTTACATGGAAACCATGCCTTATGAGGTTAGATCTATAATTTCGAGCTTTAGGGTAGCTTAAAATCTTCTGAATGAGGAATTGATTGAAGGGACTCGACGAGTTGCATGGTCAACTCGACGAGTCGGATGAAGATTGGCCGTGGTGGGTTTCTGCATGGACTCGACGAGTCAGTAAGACGACTCGACGAGTCAGTTAGGGTTTTCCCGACTTTTGGACACGCGTGGACTCGACGAGTTGTCTGGAAACTCGACAAGTTAACTAAGGTTTTCACGATTTCTTGAGTTCTGGAAGGACTCGACGAGTAAGTGAACTCCACTCGACGAGTTGGGTCAACATGGACTGTTGACCTTGACCGTTGACTTTGACTTTGACCAAGGGTTGACCAGTTTGACTTCTGGGGGTATTTTAGTAAATTAGGAATTTATGGAAGTGGTCCTATGGTGAATATAGGTGGTGGAGTTTGTGGCTGTGATTCGAGAGTTTGACATTATCATTACAGTTCGACATTTATGAGGTGAGTTTTCCTCACTATACTTAAGGGTCTAAGGCACCAAGGCCAACCCTTTCGGATTGTTATCCTGATATGTTATGCTAATATGATCTGTTAGATCAGTATCCTGGTAGATAGGATGGTATTATGTTGTTATGATCTGTTAGATCGGTCTGTCTGTCTATATATTGTTATGTGATTATCTGATATATGTGCACATGTTTGATTAGTGGTTGAGGCTTATCTGCTTTGTGCGAGAGCCACAGACCTGGGCATTCCAACCCGATGGTTGTGGGCCATGAGTATTCCTTCCTGAGGATGATTGGACTCGTACTATGTGGGCATTCCAACCCGATGGTTGTGGGCCGAGGGTATTCCATTCCGAGGATGACTGGACCCTTAGTATGTTGGCATTCCAACCCGATGGTTGAGGACCTGGGGTATTCCAACCCGATGGTTGATTAGACCCATAGTATGATGTTTGTGATTATGTGTATATTGTTATATGCATGGGTACTTTGGGGTAACTCACTAAGCTTCGGTCTTACAGTTTTGGATTTTGTTTCAGGTACTTCATATGGTCGCGGAAAGGCGAAGGTGTGATCGTACACCTCCTCATGTTTTATGATTTGGATTTTTGGGATACTCTGATGTTTAAAACATTTTGAAAACAAGTTTTGTAATAATTATTGGTTTTGAAATGGTTGAAAAAGTTTAAATTTGGCATGATTTTTATGGATGTTACACTCCTAATCCTACAATACAACGTAAACACATTAATAGATTGATGAGTAATGCAACATGAAAAAGCATGACTTCGGCTAGACACTAAACTATAAATCCTAATATGAAAAAGATTGAAATAGGAACCGATCATTTGATCAAGAAAAAAAGAAAAAAGAATCCCAATGACAAAGAATACAAATTAACTATTGATTTCCAAGTCTTCAATATTGGGAATGAGTAGACTTGTGGCTTAGCACATTTACATCTTCCATAGAAAATAGACTTTGCCACAAACCATTTATTTCTATTAATACAATAAGAGCAGTTGCCTAGGACCAAAAGAGCACATTTTTTATGATTAAGAGTTTGAGTTATTTATTGTTTTGCACAGAAAACAACTTTCTGGATCGGACTATAAAAATAAGTTTTGTTTCATATCAGTTGTCAACACACATTACACAACATGTTCTATCATGTTGTCTTCTACATAACAAAACTACCTACATAGATCTTTCATCATGATGATTAATGATAATATTACATAGCAGAAGAATTCAAGATATCATAAATTTTATAACTTGTGTGCCTATTACCTAAGATCTTCAAGGATTCAACATGTGCTCATACAGGTGGTCTGAATATGAGCACCAAAACCAGGTGAGGTTAGATTTATTAGTGTGCTATCAGCTTGTAGCCATAGAGTATTACTCACTCAAGGAAGAAGCTACTTCAAAGAGATGGAAACCAGGTTTGGGGTTAAACCAAGAGTGGAACATTATGCTTGTATGATTGATTTACTTAGAAGAATTAGGGAGCGCTTCTTAATGCGTGTAGGATGCATGGTGATGTTGAACCGGGTAAAATTGCTACTGAAAAGCTTCTTAATTTGGATCCAAATGATAGCGGTGTTTATGTGCTTATGGAAAGTTTATGTACAAGTAGATGTAAATGGGATGAGGTAAAGAAGATTAGAAGTGTGATGAGAGGGAATGGTGTTAAGAAAACACCAGGGTGTAGTTGTGTACAAGTGGAGGGTGTGTTTCATGAGTTCGTGTCTGTTGATAAATCACACCCTCAATCTGAGAATGTGTATCAAGTATTGAGTCAAATACATCATTGTCGAGGTTGGATTGGAACATATTAGTTTAAAAGAAAGTAATTGTAACTGAGATATGATAATCAATTTAGTTGTGCAACTAAAACTTGTAAAATAATGTGCATATATATCAAACATTCACATGAACTGATTGATTTACTATCAAAATTGTATTGTAACTTCAACTGATCAGCACGTTTTGCACATTAGGAACATCATGCAGGTAGAAGATGAAGAAGAAGAAATTAAATAGAGAGGATGAAGCGTACCTGATCAGATGGGTATGGCGCGAATATGAGCAGGATGGGGGAAGTTAAGCAAGACGATTATATGAGACTTGCGGCTACGTGATCTTTTATTAATAGGGTTGAGGGTATACTGGTCCATAATAAGATGAATGCTAGATACGTTACAATTTTTCTTCCGATTTCCGTCCAATTCGGGAGGAAAATTTGGAAGGAAAATCAATCCCCAAAATCCTTTCTCTCGCTCACTTTCCTTCCATTGATTAAACTCGGGAACATGGGTGTCCTTCAAAATACCTCACCTCCCTTCCGTATCCCTTCCTTTCTCTCGTTAACCACAACTTGGGAACAAGTTGTAAAAGGTTGAAGAAGGAGGAGCAAGAGAATATTAAATCGTCTGAAACTTCATCAGAAATCAAACCGAGATAATAACCGCTGCAACGGCGTCAGCGAAATTGTAATAATG